GTATGCTCGGCCCTGGGACCACCTCGGGAATACTCAGCCCTGGGACCACCCTGGGAATGCTCAGCTCTGGGACCACCTCAGGAATACTCAGCCCTGGGATCACCCTGGGGATGCTCAGCACTGGGACCATTTCAGGGATGCTCAGCCATGGATCCACCCCGGGGATGATCAGCCACCTGGACTACCCCAGGAATACTCAGCCCTGGGATCACCCTGGGGATGCTTGGCCACCCAGACCACCCCAGGGATGCCCACCCACCCAGACCACCAAAAGCAGGCCCCTTTCCCAGGGTGCCCACCCACGCTGTATCCCCATGCATGCTCGGGGCTGGCTGCCAAACCCATCAGCCGGCCCCACGGGGCACGAGGGGCACCGGAGGAGCGCAGACTGACCTGGAAGCTCTTGGTGTTGAGGCTCTTCTGGCTCTCAGCAGCCACCTTCAGCCTGGAGTCCAAGCCCTTCATCAGCGACTCGGTGTTGCGCACGTACTGGAGGTCCCGGTAGGTCCGGAGATCCAGCACCTCCATCGACTGGGAGATGTTCTGCACCTGCACGGTGGGGTGATAAAGGGCCTAATTAAACAGCCCCTGCCCTAACGAAGCGGCCTGAGACAGGGAAATATGAGCGGCAGAGTCAGCGAGGCGATGGGGAAGGAGAGCAGCCCCCAGGACCAGCCCAGCGCCAGTGGGGACACGGTGTGGGAGACCCCCTCCCAGTGTCCCCATCCCCAGGGAGCCAGAGGACGAGCCGCTCCCCGCTCCCCCGCTCCGGCGTTCACGTAAAACGTTTGCGAGAAAACCCTTCCCCCTGCAGCTTTCCCGTATAAAATACTGCATTTTCCTCATCCTGCTTCAGCCCTGATTTGTTGGCTTTTTTTTTTAACCCACCCGAGAGCACATTTCCCGAGTCTATGAGCTTTCATTCCTTAATTTCATCTGCCGCAGCCGGCAAAGTTATTTTATTTCCCTGCTTCCACAGGACGCGGCCGCGTTCCTCCAACGGTTATTTATTTTTCAGCGCTTGGCCCCACTGGTGTTTTCGGTGCTGCCGCCTCGGAAAGGAGCCGCGTAAAAGGGGGTTGGATTCTATATTTTTTTTTTTGGCAGCGGGTTATAATGAAAGTTTAATCGGGTTTGTGGTGCGCCCGCTGGTGCGGATGTGGAAAAACGGGAGCCAGGGGGGGAATGAAATGAGCCA